TCATCAAAGGGCCAAGTTTGAAGGCCCTTGTATTAGACTTTCGGGGGAGGGGCAGCCACGTTCAGGATCCAGAATCGGGACCCTTTTCTCTCTCCGTAGGGTGGAAGAAGTCCACAAGTCATAAAAGGGCCAAGTTTGAAGACCCCTGATCTGGAGCTTCTAGAAGCCATGGGACCAGTCTACGAGTAGATTTACGTGGGGGGTGGGTTGCCTATGGAGGAGGCCGATGCTTAGGAACGGCCCCCCAGGTTCTTACTTCGTGGGTCAAGGTGGAGATTTGAACTCTCTAAAAAGCCAGGATCTTTCCTAAGAGAAAGAAAAGCTTGGGGAGATGTGTCCACCATAACAGCTGCCCATCACGGAGACTTGTGGAAGGCACGGTTCTTCCCTGCTTTAGAGGTCAGCGTCCCCCTCCTCTTTCATTCCAGCTGTGTTGGGACAGGATGTTTGGGTACACCGGTTGGGAATTCTGGCTCTCGTAGTCCCAGCAAAAAGTGGTAGAGTCAACGAAGGAGAAGGCCAGGTGGCTTCAGTGGTGGGATTTAAATACCAGAACAATTGGTTCTCTTATTGGATGTAGGCCTGGGCCTCCGAAAGCTAGAATGGACTTCCGGAAGTGGCATCCATGCACTTCCAGTGGGCCGTTTTAGGCCTGGGAGACCTCCTGGCTTCCGAGGCCTAGAACGGACTTCCGGAAGTGGCATCCATGCACTTCCATTGGGCCATTCTAGGCCTGGCAAGCCTTCTCCCAGCCTCCGGGGCCAAAATGGACTTCCGGAAGTGGCATCCATGCACTTCTGGCAGGCCGTTCTAAGCCTGGAAGGCCTCCTCCAGGTCGCCAAGGCCTAGACTGGACTTCCGGAAGCAGTGTATGCATTCAGCCGGTTCTCCGAACTCAGCCAAATTTAGCTACCGGTTCTACTGAACCGGTGCGAACCAGCTGAATCCCACCCCTGGGTGGCTTCGTCCGATCTTCGGCTTTAGATCCAGAGCCGCAGACTTTGGGCAAGGGGGGGGGCTCAGTAGAAGAACTTAAACACAGCAACAGACCCCCCCCCTCCCCATCCAACTTATTTGGGTGATGTTCCGAAAGGTTTCTGGGGAGAATCCCAGATGAACCAACAAATCCATGGGTTTTTTTTAAAAAAAATATTATTATTGCTATTGTTGCTTTAATTTACCAAGAACATTTGCAACTCCCTTTGGCTCTGTGGCCATATTTTAATCGTTTTTAAAGTGCTCTTTTTTCTGTCTTTTTTTTTTTTTAAAAAAAGGGGCTGCATTTTTATTTTTTTGGGGGGGAACAGAGCTGTTGAAAATTAAATTTTCCTTTCTGTAAATGGCTTCGGGAGCATCTGGGTCCGTGGGCTGCCGTTCTTGCGTGGTTCTTCCCCGCTTCGAGCAGAGATTCTGATTTATTCCTGCCTGCAGCTGTCCCCAAAGTTCCCTTCGACGGGAAACAGGATGCAGCCCCCAACCCCGATCCCCCTCCTCCATCTGCCTCCCTCCTTCTGTCCCCTTGGTGCCCCCAACGTCTCCTCTGGCTGGGGGGGAGGAATCCCAGGTAGTCCTCAGTTTACGACCGTAACGGAGCCTGCCCATCACCGTCCTAAGTCGTGACGGTCGTAAATCGTACGAGCCACAGGACCGACCTGATTTTATCACCATTTTTTTGCAGCGGTCGTAAAGGGAATGCTGTCGTCCTTAAGTGGGCCGATGCTTTGCTAGGGGCTGTTTGTTGCTGAAAACCAGAAGCAAATGCAACGGTCAGCAAAACCGTCATAAAATGAGGTCATTTCGCCGCAGAGACAGGCAATCCTCGACTTACGACGACCGTTGAGCCAAAAGGTTTTTGCTGTTAAGGGAGACAGTTGGTGAACCGAGCTTTGCCCTGTTTTACGACCTTTCTTGCCACAGTGGCTAAGCCAACCACTGCAGTCGATGGGTTAGGAACACGGTTCTTAAGTGAATTGTTGAAGCCCTTAAGTCAGTCACACGGTCATTAAGTGAATCCGGCTTCCCCCCGTTGACTTTGCTTGTCAGAAGGTCGCAAAAGGGGATCACGTGACCCTAGCTGAGGAATTCTGGGAGTTGAAGTCCACGAGTCATAAAAGGGCCATAGTTCCGCCATGCTGGCTCAGGAATTCTGGGAGTTGAAGTCCGCCAGTCGGCTGAGGAATTCTGGGAGTTAAAGTCCGCCAGTCGTGACCATAGTTCCTCCACGCTGGCTGAGAAATTCTGGGAGTTGAAGTCCGCAAGTCATAAAAGGGCCAAGTTTGAAGAGCCCTGCTCTGGACCGAGAAAAGTCAGAGTAAGTACAGATACCATCGACTTAAAAAATTCATTTAGTGACCATTCGAAGTCACAACAGCACCAAGAAAAATGACTTAGGATCGTTTTTCACACTTAACGACCGTTGCAGCCCTCCCCAGGCTCACGTGGTCAAAATTCGGATGCTTGGCCACTGACTCGTATTTACGACGGTCGCAGCATCCCCGGGGGCGGGTGTCACGTGATCCGTTTTTACGACCTTCTGACCAGCAAAGTCAACAGGGGAAGCCAGACTCGCTTAACGACGGTGTGTGACTAACTGGACAAACCCAGTGATTCGTTTAACGACAGCGGGAAGAAAAGGTCATAAAACGGGGCAAAAGTTATTTTAACTGTCTCGCTTAGAAACAGAAATCTTGGGCTTGTGGTCGTAAGTTGAGGACCATCCGACACAAGTCCTCCCGTTCAAAAAAAAGGAGTCTTGTCTGCAGTCAGACACAGCCAACAGCTCCGGATCTACGGATTGCTTGTATCTGCAATTGTTGGAAAATAATTAGTAATTATGGAAACGGGGATTTCAGCGGGAGATTCAGCCGTCTCGATGGAGCCATTAGCAAGGAGAAAGATTTGTGTTTGGTTTGCCTTTCAGTCTGAATGCAGGCTACGATAATTGGGCATTTTCAAACCAACGTGTGAGCCGAAATTGGCCCTTAATTCATTTTCGCAGATGTTATTCTCCAATTAAAGAAAGGAAAAGAAGAATACGATGGGGAGAATCCGAAGAAAAATGTCTGAGTTTAGGGAAATAATGTAGAAAAGGGCACTCTTTGAGGGGGAAGGCAGAAAAATGGTTTGTTAGGCAATGCTGGAATTAAAAGCACATGCACCCAAATAGCAAAATATTACCGAGAGACATGAAATGAAGAAAGAAAGAAAGAAAGAAAGAAAGAAAGAAAGAAAGAAAGAAAGAGAGAGAGAGAGAGAGAGAGAGAGAGAGAGAGAGAGAGAGAGAAAGAAAGAAAGAAAGAAAGAAAGAAAGAAAGAAAGAAAGAAAGAAAGAAAGAAAGAAAGAAAGAGGAAGGAGGGAAGGAAGGGAGGAGATGGAAAGGGAGGGAGGGAGAAGACAAGAA